ATTTGTAAGTGCACAAGAACATTTTGAAAGTGAACAAATACGTAAAGAGTACGTAGCATACCCGAAAATGAAATATAATTAAAAACCCTAGAATATGAATACAAAATGCAATCGTTTTGTAAATTTAACAATTTTTCTTAACCACATGAAAACATTGAAATCAGGAAGGTTAGTTATTTTTACTTTTCAAACCTCTCTAGCTCAGGAAAACCAGACGCTAAAACCTAGGAATAATTCCTTTCCCTGCCTTCGTTTCCGGTTATAATTATGGAATTTTAAATATCAGCAATACTTCATAAGTCAACACTTTCAACATTAAGAACATTCGCTAACCAGACACGTTTGAATGAGACTAAAACCAGCAATGATTTACAGCCAATAATAAGGGAAAATGGTAGTGCAAATGACATTTTTGATCCCAAAGAATAGTTCTGAATTTGAAAATTCATAAAGTATAAAATGTATTCAAAATGAAAGTACAGTTTGCAACCCCCGAATACGACGTGAAATTAATACTGAACCTTGATATGCTTCAAGCTGCAACGGTAATTAACTTTCAAGAACACATTAAACAGAATATGAACTGGCTTGACATGTTTTAATTTCTTTACTTTTACTACGGTTAACTACTAAATATATCCCGAATTTTACATGTACTGAGCGAGCATGAACCACACGAACATGTACAGCACTTGTACACTTGCTCCGCACAGAACCATTTTGACCCAGAATAAGTACACTATTGTTTCTTTTTCGTTAGCAACATGACCCAACACAGAGCCGTTGTTGAATAATAACAGCATACATTTAAATACCTGCAAGGAATTTAAAAAAAGTAAAAGTTTTGAAAACAAAGAAAATACCTGAGACTTTATTAATTAACAATCGCATCCTGTGGACACAATGGGGCGGACATACTGGGCCAGAAAAAGTTTCCGGACGTGATGGGCCATGCGTACATAATGGTCCGGAACATACATGTACATCCCAACTTTCGAACATCTGTCTGTTCTGACACGTTTCTGCGTTGGCGTTTGTTTACATTGACACGATGGCCATAGAGTTGAACAGTTATCTCTACAAGGAATGCCAAGAAATCATGATCGGACATTTTATTACAAGATCTCATTCTGGAACTAGATTTCTTGACAACGCGACGGGTGTGGGCGAGAGTGGGGCCATCAAACGACCGGGAGTCGTGGGTGGAATAAAACTGATCACTTCCTATGAAAAAGAGAAGGTCTTCCCCTTTGAAGTGCGACGCTTCTCAGCGCTAAACCCTCAGAGGAAAACAGTTATTAACATTTATACTTTGCTGAGGTTTAAGCACTCAGTCACCGACCGCATGATGATATTCGTGACCCCCGACCGTTTGTTTGCATCGATGATCGAGTTGTGAAATATTTCCAAATCCTTAAGTCAGATTAGCTGCTAGTGAGGACGTAACTCGCTGAGTTACAAAATGATGTCTTCCTCCTGAGCCGTATTATGTGAGTTGCCAGCAGCCAGTCCGGGGTAGTCCGGACGGTCCCTAATCGGTTCCACAAGCCATCTCCAAATTTCCTAGAGTCGTGTTTTGTGCCTCGGAGCACAACTGTACACAGGAAAAGTTTGTCAAAACCACCTAATGGTGGAGCTTAGGAATTGGGATACGTCTACACGTCATCTTGCCTGCATTTACTTCAGGTCGATGCCCCGTGATTCGGCCCCGCCTACTGAAACTTGGTTGATCCAAGACCCAAGCATTAACAGCAACGTGTAACCTATAATATTAGTGCTGTAGTACTGTGGTTTTAAAGGGATACGGTGGGGAAAAATATATATTGTCGGCAAACGCACTTTGTTGAGGGAACAACAAAATTTTGTTGAGGGAACAACAGGTTTGGTCAGCGACGACCGTTCGTTGAGCATTTCCCACGTTTTCTCAACTTGAAGTGAGAATTTCTGGCCAGCTCATTAGCATTAAAAATGCTTCCCATAGTATCTTTTGAAAAAGGAAATTGTTTGGCCCCCTTAAGGAGAGACGGTACATCTTTGCGATCAACTCCCTTGGTCTTTGGGCTTTCATTTGAGAACAGAATTGTTAAAAATACGGTTGAAAAATGGTCCTAAGTGCCCGAGAAAGTTGAGGGTTGCCACTTGAAAAATGGCTGCAAGCAGACTTCGGAAAAATCACTTTTAGGGGACTGGTTTTGTTTTGTGGGAATAACTAAAAAGTAATCAGTCAACCCACAGAAAATTGAAAGAAATTGAAAGATTAGGGACCAGACAATAAATTAATTTGTGTTTAAGAAACCCCAAGGATGTTTACGCTTTTACCCAACAGCGATCCGCATCTTAAATGATAACATCTAGGTCCATGTGACTCCAGGTCTGGGTTGCACTTGAAACGCATCCTTCACCTGTTGTGTGCCACTCTAAATATTAATGTTAATATAAAATGTTTATTTTAAAACAATTTACATGTCTGGTTTATTGTTTTATAAAATTTACATGTCTGCTATAATGGTGAAAACAATTTACATGTCAAGTTTATTGTTTTATAAAATTTACATGTCTGTTATATGTTCATTTTAATTATTTAATTTTAATTATGAATTTGTAAGCTGTATATGGACGTATCTTTATGAATCTTTAATACCTTTTTAGCACGCAAAGACCAAGTGCATTTCACAATGGTCAAAATAAACAGTACCTATCTATGTTTGTCGGTAAACAAAGCCGATTTTATATTGTTTTCGATGGGGCTTGAGTTAGTTGGACTAAAATCCATAATGTTGTCTGCCGTACATGTACATGTATAGCAGTGTCTATTTTCATAGAACAAAATTTGTTGTTCCGTCAACAAACTTTGTTGTTCCCTCATCAAATTTCAATGGTCCCTCAACAAAAAGGGTTGTTCCCTCAACAAAGCACGTTGGCCGATAAAATATATTTTTCCTACCATGTCTGTTTAAAAACCGCCGTACTGTAGTATCGTTGTGATGGGGAAAATCCACAGGGTTTGTAATCGAAATGCAGGACTCTCCACGTCAGGAGCAGCTGCAAGAGCAGCGAGCACGCAAAGATAGGCCTACTTTAGTGCATGCTGCGTTTAAATCGCTCAGGGGCCGTCAAAAGTAATCAAAACGAGCTCACCTCTACCATAATGTGAAGTAGAATTTTATAAATTTTGGAGTTTGTACGGTAAAAATTAATACCGAAATGCCCCAAAAGAGGCAGAAGTCTATTCCAAAGAGGAATTTTTTGTCGGTGAACATAATACAGTGTAATTCTTTTTATTCTTAGCGTAAACTGAAAGGCCCCGTAGAACTTTCTTCACGGGAAATTTATTATCTTAA